AAATAAATTTTAAGAAATTTATTCTGATTTTCGGCAAATAAAAGTGGGGCGTTACATCAGGTGTTACATTTCACATGAAAGGTCATGTCCAGATCCAAATTGGATTTTCTGGTTGGGCCTAAAATTGCAAATAAATTAGCAGCAAAAAGATATATAGTGATTGGGCCCAAGGCCCAAGCCCAACCGCCCAAGGCTGCCCAAGTCCAGCCCGAAGTCCAATTGCCAAGAACCAAGGATCAAGTGCCAAGTGCCAAGTCCCAGGCCCATGCCCGTGCCTGAGCCCGAGCTCGAGCCGGCCGACGGGCGGGCGCGCGCACGCGCGTGTGGCTGAAAACAACACCAACACTTGGTGCATAGTTTTGCGCTTGTTGTAGCATCTCCAACTCTCTTTCTTATAATAAAGAGAGTTAAACTCATTTAAGAGTCCAATGTGGGAGTGACTCTTGACCCTTCAAATCCCACAACCAACGTTTTACGTGCCCTTTTATGACTAACTTTAACAATTTATTTCTCACTCACCGAAAATCAGTTTTGAGAAAATAAATATACCACGAGTATCTACTCAGAACTTAGAATTTTTCTACAATATTTAATTCAACTCAAATTAAATATTTAACCATAAAAAATTTAGTCAAAACCGGGTCAAACCCAAGTTTTATAACTGATTTTTCCAACATTTTGTAGGACGAACTTATTTAAAAAGCTCAAGCCTAATTGAGAAGCTTCTTTAGGTAGTTTTTCAAATAAACTACCAAATATTTTTATCAAATAAGCTATCTTTTTAGCTATAAGCTTGAACATTACTAATAAGCTATAAGCTAGCTTTTCAGCTAATTTTACCAAACATAGCTAAAATTTTGCCAATTTTATTGTATAGTTTGCTTGAAAAAAAAACCGCATAAATGTTGGTGTTTAACACTTAAGCTTTAAGTACACAATTCATATTTATTTTATACTAATTTTTGTTTATTAATAACAGTCTTTGCCAATGTTGTTACGTTTTGTTCCTTATGTTTTTTTTTT